AATTTCAACTCTATCTACCTAGACATAGTGTCAGATTCTACAGGTTGAGGATTCAGTCTCCAAGACTGTCCCCACCTCAGATACCAGTTGCAAGTTTGGGTCTCCAGAACTTCTAACCAACCGGCTTTAAGTTGGGGTTTTCATGACCCCCTCTTTGGGATCAACCGATTTGCTGGAAAGGCTCACAGAACCCAGTGTAACATTTATATTTTCTGGTTTATTATGAAGCATATTACAAAGGATACAGATGTGGAGATGCATAGGGCAAGGGATAGGGGAAAGGATGCCCGTCAGAGGGACTTTGGCCCTCTGAAGGGTCACTGAAAAATCTACCCACAATAAGGCAGATTAATAAAAGAAGTGGTGTACAAATTTATTAAACCATGTACACAGGGAGAATCACAGAGTGATTGCCCAACATCCCAGTGGGGTCCAGAAGTTTATATACCATCTTGAGATTACAGAAAGAATATGGACTTGGACCCTGGCAAAACAGATTATGGTGGGGAGAGATACATTCTATTCAGGGGCAATAAATGGTTACTAGGGAGAATGATTAGATGGGAAACAGAAATTAATTTGTTAAAGTTCTTTCTCGAACTTAAATAATCCTCAGGGACAGTCATGATCTTATAAAAAGGGTCTGTTCAAGTATATTCTTTGTTTTCTTTCCTATTATGGATAATGAGACAAGGAGGGGAGCAACTGTTCTCCTTGGAGGGTCCATCCTATCTTTATGTAGATAGGGGAAAAGTTTCTTCCAACTTAATCCCTAAGGGTTTTTAATTCAAAATCCTCATACCTGGGAGCTGTATTTTGGGATGAAACTCCCTGTGCTCCTTCTGGCCTTTTATGAAGACTTCACTGGTTGTCCATGCTTCAATCATGGACAACCACATCAAAAAGTGATTGGACAAAAAAAAGGTATGCTCTAAACTCAGCAAAGTCTATCTATTCAGACGACTCCTGACCTCTCTGTGAAGCATTCCTTCCTCCCAGGTATGAGGTAGGACCCTCTCTGAAATGGGTGCCTTATGACCACAATCAGATTAGAGTCTTGCCAAGCAGGCAGGTAAAAGGAGGAAAAGAGAAGGTCAGAAAAAGAAATTCCATTTACTGTAAAATGGAATAGGAAAGTTATGAGCCAGGACACTGTGGATGGAAACCAATGTATCATAATATCACAGTCCTCCATTCCTTTTTATGACCAAATAATATTCCACTGTATAGATATAACATACTTGCTTATCTTTTCATTAGCTGATGAACATTTGGGTTGTTTCTACTTTTTGGCTAAATGAATAAGGCTACTAGGCATATTTGTGCACAAGCTGTTGTTTTTGTTGTTGTTTAGAGATGGGAACTCTCTCTGTTGCCCAGACTAGAGTACAGTAGTGCAATCATAGTTCACAGCAGACACGAACTTCTGGGCCCAAGCAATCCTCCCATGTCAGCCTCTTGAGTAGCTGGGACCATAGGTGATTGCCACCACACCCAGCTACTTTCTAAATTTTTTGTAGAGACAGGTCTCCCTATGTTTCCCAGACTGGTCTCGAACTCTTGGGCTCAAGCAATCTTCCTGCCTCTGCCTCCCAAATTGCTGGAATTACAGGCATGAGCCAGCAAGCCAAGTTTGTATACAAGTTTTTGTTTGAACACCTGTTTTCTGTCTTCTCGCGTATAAAGCTAGTACAGATGTTCCTTGACTTACAGTGGGATTACATCCCAATAAACATACTGTACAGAGAAAATATTGTAAGTTGAAAATGCATTATAACACATAAGCCCATTGTAAAGTCAAAAAATTGTAAGTCAAAGTATCCTAAGTCAAAAATCATTTGTAGTAGAATTGCTGAGTAATATATTCTACTTTTAATTTTTTGAGAAAAGGCTAAATTGTTTTCCGATGGAGGTGTATTAGTTCATATTCACACTGCTGACAAAGACATACCTGAAACTGGGCAATTTGCAAAAGAAAGAGGTTTAATGAGGGCCAGGCTTGGTGGCTCAAGCCTGTAATCCTAGCACTTTGGGAGGCCGAGGCGGGTGGATCATGAGGTCAAGAGATTGAGACCATCCTGGTCAACATGGTGAAACCCCGTCTCTACTAAAAATACAAAAAATTAGCTGGGCATGGTGGCGCCCGCCTGTAGTCCCAGCTACTCGGGAGGCTGAGGCAGGAGAATTGCCTGAACCCAGGAGGCGGAGGTTGCGGTGAGCTGAGCACGCCATTGCACTCCAGCCTGGGTAACAAGAGCAAAACTCTGTCTCAAATAAAAAATAAAAATAAAAAGAAAGAGGTTTAATGGACTTACAGTTTCATGTGGCTAGGGAGGCCTCATAATCATGGCAGAAGGCAAAAAGCACTTCTTACATGGTGATGGCTAGAGAGAATGAGAGAGAAATGAAGTGGAAACCCCTTATCAAATCATCAGATCTTGTGAGACTTATTAACTACCACAAGAACAGCATGTGAGGGAACCACCCCCATAATTCAATTATCTCCTAACGGGTCCCTCCCACAACAGGTGGAAATTATGGGAGTATAACTCAAGATGAGATTTGGATGGGGACACAGAGCCAAACCATATCAGGGGATATATCATTCTGCATTCCCATCAGAACATATAAGTGTTCAATTGCCCCATATACTCATTAGAACTTGGAACTGTTGATTTTGTTTTTTTTACTTTTAGCCATTTTGATGAGTATCCCATTGTGATTAATTTGCAATTCCCTAATGACTATTGATATTCAGCATCTTTTCATGTGCTTCTTGACCATTTGTCTATCTTTAAAGAAATATCTATTTGAGCCCTTTACATATTTTTTTTAATTTTATTTTTGAGACAAGGTCTCACTCTGTCACCTGGGCTGGAGTGTGGTGGTGTGACCTTAACTCACTATAACCTCAACCTCCCTGGCTCAAGCTATTCTCCTGTCTCAGCCTCACAAGTAGATGGGACTACAGGAGAGTGCCACCATGCCTAGCTAATTTTTATCTTTTTGTAGTGACAGAGTTTTGCCATGTTGCCAGGACTGGTCTCAAACTCCTGAGCTCAAGTGATCCACTCACCTTAGCCTTTCAAAGTGCTGGGACTATGGGCATGAGCCACCACTCCTAGCCCCTTTGCACATTTATAAATTGTGTTCTTTTTGGTTTTGTTTTGTTTTAAATTCAGTTTATCTTCTTGTTGTTGAGTTGTAAGTTTCCTTTTACAATAAGTTAACTTCTGTTGAGAAATAAAAATAAAACTCTACACCCCCAAACTGATTGAACAGGCCCTCTTTTAGCCAAGAGGACCCCAGAAAAACCTTGGAAGCTGAGTTCCTGGTCATGACAGGATGGTAGGTTGGACACACCACTTTCTAACCCCTCCCTCTATAATCACCATTAGTTTTTATTTTCTTTTTTTTTTTTAGATGGAGTTTCGCTGTTGTTACCCAGACTGGAGTGCAATGGCACGATCTTGGCTCACCACAACCTCCGCCTTCTGGGTTCAAGCTATTCTCCTGCCTCAGCCTCCCAAGTAGCTGGGAGTACAGGCGCGCACCACCATGCCCAGCTAATTTTTGTATTTTTAGTAGAAACGGGGTTTCACCTTTTTGGCCAGGATGGTCTCAATCTCTTGACCTCGTGATCCACCTGCCTCTGCCTCCCAAAGTGCTAGGATTATGAGCCACCATGCCCGGCCATAGTTTTTATTTTCTAAGGGTTAAACAGAAACCAGCCCTTTTGGAAGATTCACTCCACCAGCCTGATGCTGACCCTCCCATTCGCAGTTTCTACAGAACAACTGATCAGCATTCCTTCCTGATAAGAGACTACCCACCATCCAGCGAGTGGTTCTGGCCAGTCTACATAGTGCAGTGAGGGTTTTCACATACCCTGTTTCACCTTTTGAAGTCTGAGGACACAAAACTCCACCCCTGGATCATGCTATGGCCACCATTTTTTAAACATGGGATCCATGGAGAGGCATGAAGCTCAAATGCACATGCACAGGTTGCTCCTTTCATAAATATTCATGACCTCTCCTACAGTTTATTTAATATGTACATTTGGCTACTGTCCTTGGCATAAATCCTTCTTATTCTTCTGACCCTGGAAGTGCCTGTGTTTGGCTTCTGACTGAAGGCTAGGATTCCCAGTTTGTCAATAATGGCTACCACACCCCGCCCCCTCCCCCTTTTTTTGAGACTGTATCTGGCTCCCAGACTAGAGTGCAGTGGCACAATCTTGGCTCCCTGCAACCTCTGCCTCCAGGGTTCAAGCAATTCTCCTGCCTCATCTTGCCAAGTAGCTGGGACTACAGGCGTGGGCCACCACATTCTGCTAATTTTTGTATTTTTAGTAGAGATGGGGTTTCACCATGTTGGCCAGGCTGGTCTCAAACTCCTGACTTCAAGTGATCCACCCACCTCTGCTCCCAAAGTGCTAGTATTACAGGCGTGAGCCACTGGGTCCGGGCAGATTCAACGCTTTATGAGAAACAGAGTTCGTCTGATTGGGCAGTGGCTCATGCCTGTAATCCCATCACTTTGGGAGACCTAGACAGGAGGATCACTTGAGCCCAGGAGTTTAAAGCCACCTTAGGCAACATAGTGAGGCCCGCCATTTCTATTTAAAAAAAAAAAAAAATTTTTTTAACTAAAGAAAAATATTAAGTAAACTGCTAAAATAGTGATGGCAATACAGAAATCAGGAACTAGTGGCATGACATTTTGGTAAAGATATTTAACTAAGCTGGAGAGACTCAGTTTCTCCAGCTTTAAAACAGAAATCAGCCTCTGCCAGTTCATAGGTGCTTGTTCCAAACGAGATGATGCATGTGAAGCGCTTACCCAGTGCTTGGCAACGGGCAGCACTCTCTAAAGGTTAGCAAATACCACGATAGGGCACAAGGCCCTTGACTCTCCGCGTTCAGCTTGCAGAGGCTCAAGGCCAAGAGCATAGAGTTTCAAGCGCATGCTCCTGTCCTCACGACCTTATGCGAGCGCCCGCCCCCTAGCGCGGAGTCACGGTGACCCGCAGCCTGACTTCCGCTTCCGGCGGCAGCTTCCGGCAGCGTGACCTGAGGGCGAGAGGCCAGTGGAGTGCGGGAGCTGAAGGAGTCTTCGCAGACGGCCGGTAACTGTCGGCGGTTGGGAATGGTCGAGTATGGCTTCTCTAGTGTTTCAGCTTGGGGAGAGAGGGGCGGCCTTCCTCTTGCAGCCGAGGCTGGAGCCGGGCGGGACTTCAGTCCAGTATCGTGGCGGAGCCCATTTTGCTGCCCCTCCCAGGCCTTTACCCGCTCCCTAGGATTCCCGGGGCTCAGTGGGTGTGAGTCGGGAGACGTGAGTTCTCTTCCATTCTGCGCCTCTCATTGGCTCTCTGACATTGAGCGGAACGCGTCCTTTATCTGACCTCAGCTGCCTTTTTTAGAAGATGGAGATTGTATTCACAGTGACTGTGACCTCAGCTGCCTTTTTTAGAAGATGGAGATTGTATTCACAGTGACTGTGAGCTTCTTAACGGCGGGAACTGACTTAGTGTTAAACACTGTCGTGTATCGCTGGCACAGTACAAGGATAGTATAGGTATTCTCTATCCACTTAAGTTATTTGGAGTCACAGATCTTTGAAAATCTGGTGTGAGCTACGGATCCTCCACCTCTCTAATACTTCCCCTGGCCCCCGCCCCAAACACAAATGCTTATGTACAGGAAGTTTTACTATTTCAGATTACTTCCAAGATCTCTTTCCTGAAGCCCATCTGTGGATCCCAGAGCCTGGCAAGTAGACATAGTAGGCGTTTCAATATTTGTAATCATTAGATAGTAAGTGTTCAGTTAATAATTTTTATTTTTAATTATTATTATTTTTAGAACAGGTCTCACTGTGTCGCCCAGGCTGGAGTGTAAAGATAATGTTCACTGCAGCCTTGACCTCTGGGCACAAGCAGTCCTCCCAACTAGCTAAAACTCACCACCTTGCCCAGCTAATTTTTGTATTTTTGGTAGAAATGAGATTTTGCCATGTTGCCCAGACTGGTCTCCAATTCTTGGCCTTAAGTGATCAACTTCCCTCAGCTCCCCAGAGTGCTGGGATTACAGGCATGAACCACTGTGCTCAACCCAGTTAATCATTTTTTAATGTATGAAATGCTGTCTACTTCACAGGAGGGAAAAAGATAGATATCCTATTATTAAGTTTTAATTGTTGGCCTGGCCATGTGCTACTCTCACTTGTCTCCTGACAACTCTAGGAGAGAGGCTTACTTAATTCTCATTTGGAGGCTTGGGAGAATTAATTTGCCATAAGTCATTCAACCTATATGGTGGAGGCAAGAATTCAAACCTGTGTCTATCTGAAACTCCAAAAGCACCCCCCCTTTGTTTTTTTGAAGTGGAGTCTTGCTCTGTCGCCCAGGCTGGAGTGCAGAGGGACAATCTTGGTCAGCTACAGTCACCGCCTCCTGGGTTCAAGCAATTCTCCTAGCTCAGCCTCCCAAGTAGCTGGGATTACAGGCGCCCACCACCATGCCCGGCTAATTTTTGTATTTTTCATAAAAACGGGGTTTCACCATGTTGCCCAGCCTTGTCTTAAACTCCTGACCTTGGGCGATCCAGCCGCCTCAAAGTGCCAGGATTACAGGCAAGAGCCCCCAGACCCAGCCAAGCCCTATATTCTTAACTAATCATGTTCTTAACATCTAGATGCAGCAATGTATTTGAATGTGATCTGCAGTCTCTATTGTAGTTGTGAAATGGCTTTTGTCAACATGGGTGACCCCAAAACAAACACTGCATGCTATGGAAATACTTTTTGTCTCTTTTTCTCCCGTGGTATCTGTATTCCTTGTTTAATAATAACATTGTGTTTTACAACCTGCACTCTGTGCCCATGTTATTCAACCCTTTTTACTTTGGTGATTGCTTATCAAGTGTATTGACCTTTTATGGCTATCGGTTGTGTTGCCTTGTTCTTCTTGACCTCCAGAGCCCATGTTTTTGATTATAACTGAAATATGAGATGACAATATTTGGACTTAATTTCTTTTTCTTTTAAAGGGACAGTGTTAGGAACCTCGGAAGCACAACCAACATGTGTAACATTGAAGAAGCCACTAACCAACTCCTAGATGTGAACCTTCATGAGAACCAGAGGTCTGTACAAGTGACAAAAAGTGACCTCACAAGTGAATCTGAGCTTCTAGTCACTGTTGGTGCCACTGTACCTACTGGCTTTGAACAAACAGCTGCAGATGAAGTGAGAGAGAAACTTGGGTCACCATGCAAAATCAGCAGAGATCGCGGCAAGATATATTTTGTCATTTCACTGGAAAGTCTGGCACAGGTTTGAATGGAGCAATATTTAAAATAGTTTTCTAAGTTGATCATTTTATGATTACTTTTCATTTTATAGACCCCTTTGGAATCCTTTCTGATTTTCATTGCTCTGCCCCAAATCAGGTGATTTTAAAGTATGACTGCATTTTCTATTGAATACTGATTTGTAGTTTTGAGTGTAGTTTCAGTATCCCTTTTCTGGAGTGCTTAGGACCAGAAATGTTTCAGATTTCAAATTTTTGAGGCGTGGGGGAGTTTTGGAGTATTGCCAGTTGAGCATTTCTAATCTGAAAATCCGAAATACTGCATTGAGCATTTCCTTTGAGTGTTGTGTTGGGGCTCAAAAAGTTTCAGATTTTTAGATTTGGGATGCTCAACCTATAATAGGATTGTTACATTTTTAGAGGTGAGCCTAGTATTTCTTGAGGATTGAATTCACCAGAAAGAATACTGTTTAACTTAAGAATCTCTGAGTAGCACAGTATTTATTTACTTCAGCATCTAGCAGATGTTTAAAATTTGGTGTTGAAACATAAAAGAGATTTTCCTTTTAATCTGCATAGAAAATTCTTGCTCAGAAGTAATTACGACTCAAGGTAAAAAGCAAAGATCACCAAATTGCAATCTTGCTGTGATAAAGCTAAGATATATCTCATTACCACAAAAGCAGCAAGAGGGCAGGGATTGTTGGCTATTTTTTCTTTCCCACCAATATATCCCAAGCTCTTAGTGTCTGGCATATAGTAGGTATCCAGAAAATATCTGTGGGATGAATTGGTAAGCAAATATTTTCCGTCCAGTATTTTAGCCAATACCCTCAGCAGCTTTGTGAAGATAGACACTATTATTATCCTCATTAATCATTAGGCTTAGGACAAATAAATAATTTGCCCGGGATCACTCAGCTGGTAATCACAGAACTGGAGCTCAAATCCCCTGCCTTTAACCATTGCAGCATACAGTGTACCATAAAAAGCCATCAGGGAAATGTGATAGAGCCTACTTGAGTGGCTTCACCTTTCCCTTCTCCCCCAAAAGACATGTTGCCCACAAAACACTTCAAGCTTCTCTCTTTCCATCTGCCCTTTCTCCCTTTCTCTAGGGGAAAGCTGATTGGTAACCAAAGAGATGAGAAACTAGGGAAATGGAACATTTTAAAAATATAAAATATAGTAGCTGCTTTAAAACTATTATTCCTAGTTTTTAAAATACTTACTTATTGATAGCTCGTGTTGTTCAAAAGCTCTTAGAAATGTGTGTCTTTTTTTTCCTCCCAGGTTCATTGTCTGAGATCAGTTGATAACTTATTTGTGGTGGTTCAGGAGTTCCAAGATTACCAGTTCAAAAAAACAAAGGTGGGCTATTCCAAACATGGTGGCTGATTTTTGGCTGTCTTCCCCGAAGAGATTATTTCCACTTTTCACAGTCTGAACATTTAGCATTTGTAATAGAGAATACTGGGAGGCTTTTACAGTAAAATCCAGAATTCTGCTCACAGTCTATCCCCAAAAGATGTTTTTTAAAAAATTAGTATTGAAAACCATTGAAGTTTATGAGAAAGAAAACATTGTTTTACTTACAAAAGATATAAAGCTTACATTAGCTTTGCTCATACATATATATAGTTCCAAAATAGAATTGCTTGCAGAACATGAACCAAAGAACCAGTGACAGTTTGTGTCTTCTACAAATAACGCTTCCTTACCATCCTGATTTTGCTCTGCTTTCTTCTCTTTCTTCATTTTTTGAAATAATGCCAAAGTAATATCTAAATACTCCTTCAGTTGTTAGGACAACAGCTTTGTCTCCAATATGTATTTAGCGTCTGAATCCTAAATATTCAGCTGCTGCCTAAGCTGAAGGTTGAAAATAGATTGCAGCAAGGCTTTAGGTTTTTTCCACACTGCTTTTTGGTTAGGTTTCTAGAGTTCACTGCTTGCTTAAAAACATTTTTCTGTCAGTTTTACCTATCTTAGAAATAATCTTTTTAAAAACAACTGTGATATGCTACCAGTTGTCTTTTATTCATTGGCAACATGTTGACTTCCGAAACGTTATTCAAAAACTGATCAAAGTTGTATGAACCCACAGCCTAGAAAAAAATAAGACCAGACCTAAAAGAAGTCAGACTGAAGATAGATAAAAATTTTATTAACTAAAAATCTAACTTTTAAAAAACTTTAAAGCATTCTAATGAGTTCTCTTATTTTTAAGTATTCAGATAATAATCATGAATTTATTAGCCCCACCCCCTTCTTTAAAAAAATACTGAGACAGGGTCTCACTATGTTGCCCAGGCTGGTCTCAAACTTCTGGGCTCAAGTGATCCTCCCACCTAGGCTTCCCAGAGTGCTGGGATTACAGGTGTGAGCCATTGCAATACCACCCATACCCACGCCCCCTTTTTTTTTTGAGACGGAGTCTTGCTCTGTTGCCCAGGCTGGAGTGCAGTCTCAGCTTATTACCACCTCTGCCACCCGGGTTCAAGCGATTCTCCTGCCTCACCCTCCCCAGTAGCTGGAATCATAGGAGCATGCCACCACACCTGGCCAATTTTTGCATTTTTGGTAGAGATGGGGTTTCAGCATGTTGGCCAGGCTGGTCTTGAACTCCTGACCTTGTGATCCATCCTTCTTGGCCTTCCAAAGTGCTGGGATTACAGGCGTAAGCCACCATGCCCAGCCTACATCCCCCCTTTTTAAAAGTGTGAACAAATCTGTGATTTATATGGGTTTTTAAAAACTGGTTAATACATGTATTTGGAGCAAAAATGTAAAGACTAAAAGGATAAAGAGTGAAAAGTAAGTCTTTCTTTCTATATCCCCATGCTATGCAGCTCCCTCCCTGGAGGCAACAATTCCAACCAATTTCTTGGGTATTCTTTTAGAGATATTTTACAAATAAATGTATTTTATTTACACAAATGAAAGCATAGCATACATACTGTTGGGTGCTGTGCTTTTTTCATATACAAGTTGAGTATCCCTTAACAAATACTTGGGACCAAAAGTGCTTTGAATTTGTTTTGTTTTGTTTTTTGAAATATTCTGGGCCCAGCACAGTGGCCCACGCCTGTAATCCCAGCACTTTGGGAGGCCAAGGCAGGTAAATCACGACGTCAGGAGTTTGAGACCAACATGCAAGATGGTGAAACCCCATCTCTACTAAAAATAGAAAAAATAGCCAGGCATGGTGACGGGCATCTGTAATCCCAGCTACTTGGGAGGCGGAGGCAGGAGAGTTGCTTGAACCTGGGAGGCAGAGGTTGCAGTAAGCTGAGATCACGCCACTGCCCTCTAGACCGAGCAACAGAGCAAGTATCTGTCTCAAAAAAAAGAAGAAAAATATTCTGAGGATGGAATCCATGTCTAAACACATGATTCATTTGTTTCATATATACCTTATACATATAGGTTGAAGGTAATTTTATATGATTTTTAAAATAATTTTATACATGAAACAAAGTTTGTGTACACTGAACTATCAAAAAGCAAAGGTGCCATTATCAGCTACCTGTGCAGCATCATATTGGCACTCAAGTTTTAGGTTTTGGATCTGGGACATTGAGATTAGGAATGCTAAACCTATGTGTTGGAGATCCCAGCAGTATCATTGCTGGAGTTGGCTGTGTATACTCCATTGTGTGGCTGTATCATAATTTAACCAGTCCCATTTTAGGACATGAGGTTTTTTCACACTCTTTTGCTATTACAGTGGTGTAACAAATATACTATGTAAATTCTTGTACGTATTCAAACTGTCATCTTTGTGTTTATCCCATTGATGTTTACTGATAATGACAACTGTTTAATTTTAGTTTTGTCATGCTTATACTTTTTTTTTTTTCTGAGAGTCTCACTCTGTCACCCAGGCTGGAGTGCAGTGGTGTGATCTCAGCTCACTACAACCTTCGCCTCCTGGGTTCAAGCAATTCTCCTGCCTCAGCCTCCTGAATAGCTAGGATTACAGGCGTGTGCCACCATGCCTGGCTAATTTTTGTATTTTTAGTAGAGACCAGGTTTCACCATGCTGGCCAGGATGGTCTCGATCTCTTGACTTGTGATACACTGACCTTGGCCTTCCAAAGTGCTGGTATTACTGGAGTGAGCCATCACGCCTGGCCTCATGCTCATACTTTTTGCTTTTTCTTATTTGAAAAGCCTCTACATTATGTCATCTTTACTTTTTTCACGTGCCTATGTTTTCTAATAGTTTGGAAGGGCTGTGTGTGTGTGTGTGCGCGCGCGTGTGCGCATACACGTGCGCACTGTTACCTTTATAACTACAATTTGATATTATTATCTACTATATATACACAGTATTTTTTGGAATCCCTGCTAAAAGCAATGATGAAATTGGCATATTTATACTTTTTTTCTTCATTTCTTAAATTATTTTTCTTAGTGTTCACCCTTAACCCTTTAAATATATTTTATTTATCAGCTTTAACTTCTATCTTTTTACCTCTGGGTATAAGAGATGAGAGTATCAGTAAGCCCATTTACATGCCATGTCAGTTTATAACATTCACTTTCTGTTTTATAGGCACATTATTTGTCCTTCTTTTATACTTTGTATCTGTTGAATGGCATGAGTTCAGAAATGTTTGTGTTTCACCTTTATATTTAGCTGATAGTTTGGGTATAAAATTTGGAATTAGGCTCTCCTTCTGCTGGGCGCGGTGACTCACGCCTGTAATCCCAGCACTTTGGGAGGCCGAGGCGGGTGGATCACGAGGTCAAGAGATCGAGACCATCCTGGTCAACATGGTGAAACCCCGTCTCTACTAAAAATACAAAAAATTAGCTGGGCACGGTGGTGCGTGCCTGTAATCCCAGCTACTAAGGAGGCTGAGGCAGGAGAATTGTCTGAACCCAGGAGGCGGAGGTTACGGTGAGCCAAGATGGTGCCATTGCACTCCAGCCTGGGTAACAAGTGCGAAACTCTGTCTCAAAAAATAAAAATAAAAATAAAAAAATAAAGAATATTTTAGTCAGTGTTCATTGTCTTTTGTAAAATATTTATTTTTTTGAGACGGAATCTTGTTCTGCTGTCTAAGCTGGAGTGCAGTGGCATGATCATAGTTCACTGGAGCCTTGACGTCCCAGGCTCAAATAGTCCTCCCATCTCAGCTTCCTAAGTACCTGGGACTACAGGCATGTGCCACCATGCCCAGCTAATTTTTGTATTTTTTTTGTAGAGACAGGACAGTGTTTTGCCATATTGCCCAGTCTGGTCTCAAATTCCTGAGTTCAACCGATCCGCCTGCTTCAGCCTCCTAAAGTGTTGGGATTACAGGCATGAGCCGCTGTATGCACCCCAGACTCTTTTTTTTTTTGTCCTTGTTTCCCAAACAATACAGTATAACAACTATTTACATAGCATTTACATTGTATCAGGTATTATAGATAAAAACAGAAATGATTTAAAGTACTCTTGACAGGATGTGTGTAAGTCATATGCAGATACTATACCATTTTATATGAGGGACTTTTCAGTATTCTTGGGTTTTGGTGTCCTTGGGGCGGGTCCTGGAACCAGTGTTCCCCATGGAGACCAACTGCCTGTAGGTAAAAGTAGAGGTTTATTTGTTCGATTATGTGGTGAGAAATGAATGGATTTTTTTTTCTCTATTCTTTATAGGAAGAAGTTCTAAAGGATTTTGAAGACTTGGCTGGAAAACTTTCATGGTCAAACCCCTTAAAAGTGTGGAAAATTAATGACAGTTTTAAAAAGAAAAAAGCAAAGCGCAAAAAGATAAATCAGAATTCAAGTAAAGGGAAGATTAATTATGGACAAGAAGTCAAAATCGATCAGAGAAATGATAAAAGAGACTTCACTAGCCATGCTTCAGATTCTCATATCTTAGATTATTATGAAAATCCAGCCATCGGAGAGGAGGTATCAACATTAGTAGGTGATGATTTGGCATCTTGCAAAGATGAGACTGATGAAAGCTCAAAAGAAGAAACTGAACCTCAAGTGCTAAAGTTTAGAGTCACATGCAACAGGGCAGGAGAAAAACACTGCTTTACCTCAAATGAGGCTGCAAGAGATTTTGGGGGTGCTGTTCAAGATTATTTTAAGTGGAAGGCCGACATGACCAACTTTGATGTGGAGGTAGGTATAGGCTCTGACTATGATGATTGAAGAATGCCATCACAGATATGTAGGATTTTCAGACTAATCCGATTTTATGCTGAATTTAATTGAGGAAATAGTAGGGGGTGGTTAAGAAGAGCATAGGCTATGGAGACAGATTTAGATCCAAATTTTAACTTTACAACTGTGTAACTTCAGACTGCATAGTCTCTAAGTCTGTTTCAAATGGAACCAATAATAGTTATGTACCTTTAAGGTCCTGAAGGATAAATGATGTACATTTAAAATATTTCATACAATACCTTGCATACGCTAAGTATTCTATACATGGAAGCTATCAAAGTTGAGTTGTCTGTTTTCTTTTCTTTTCTTTTTTTTTAGACAGAGTCTTGCTCTGTTACCTAGGCTGGAGTGCAGTGGTATGATCTCAGCTCACTGCAACCTCCACCTCCCTCGTTCAAGTGATTCTCGTGCTCAGCCTCCCGTGTAGCTGGGACTATAGGCACATGCCACTACGCCTGGCTAATTCTTGTATTTTTTAATAGAGACATGGTTTCACTATGTTGGCCAGGCTGGTCTTGAACTCCTGAAGTGATCTGCCTGCCTCGGCCTCCCAAAGTGCTGGGATTACATACGTAAGCCATCACACCTGGCCTGACCTGATTTCTTTGTTGTTGTTGTTGTTTTGTTTTGTTTTTGAGATAGAGTCTTGCTCTGTTGCCCAGGCTAGAGTACAGTGGTACAGCCTCCACTCACTGCAACCTCTGTCTCCCAGGTTCAAGCGATTCTCCTGCTGCAGCCTCCCGAGTAGCTGGGATTACAGGTGCCCACCACCACACCTGGCTAATTTTTGTATGTTTTAGTAGAGAACAGGTTTCACATATTGGCCAGGTTGGTTTCGAACTCTTGACCTCAGGTGATCTGCCTGCCTCAGTCTCCCAAAGTGCTGGAATTACAGGCATGAGCCACCATGTCCGGCCCTGATTCCTAATAGGGTACTTTTTTACTATGATGTACATTTAAAATATTTCATACAATACCTTGCATACACTAAGTATTCTATAGATGGAAGCTATCAAAGTTGAGTTGTCTGTTTTCTTTTCTTTTCTTTTTCTTTTTAGACAGAGTCTTGCTCTGTCACCTAGGCTGGAGTGCAGTGGTATGATCTCAGCTTTCATATTATAAAATTCAACCAGAACTAAAAAGTTATTTTGGCCGGGCACGGTGGTTCACACCTGTAATCCCAGCACTTTGGGAGGCCGAGGCGGGTGGATCACGAGGTCAAGAGATCGAGACCATCCTGGTCAACATGGTGAAACCCCGTCTCTATTAAAAATACAACAAATTAGCTGGGCACGGTGGCGTGTGCCTGTAGTCCCAGCTACTCAGGAGGCTGAGGCAGGAGAATTGCCTGAACCCAGGAGGTGGAGGTTGCGGTGAGCCAAGATCACACCATTGCACTCCAGCCTGGGTAACAAGAGCGAAACTATGTCTCAAAAAAAAAAAAAAAAAAGTTATTTTGTTTTTGTGTGTCTTGGTTGCAGAACTTTGCTACTGAAAAAATAAAATAAGGCTGGGTGCAGTGGCTCATGCCGTAATCCCAGAACTTTGGGAGACTGAGGTGGGTGGATCACTTCAGGTCAGGAGTTCGAGACCAGCCTGGCCAACATGGCAAAACCCCATCTCTACTAAAAATACAAAAATTGGCCGGGTATAGTGGCATGGTACTGTGGTCCCAGCTACTCGGGAGGCTGAGGCAGGAGAATCATTGAACCAGTCAGGTGGAGGTTGTAGTGAGCCAAGATCGTGCCATTACACTCCAGCCTCTCTCAAAAAACAAAGCAAGACTCTCTCAAAAAAAAAAAAGTGCATTTTTTAAACAAACCCTGACCTTCTCAAATTGGGACATCATTGCTGACACTCATTCTAGAGTTAGGGAGAGTCAGCTGTCCTCTTTCTTAAATTCTGCTAGATTTCGAAAGCCAGATACTTCATTTTAGCATGTTTACTTTCCTTGGTCTGAATCCTCTTCTCCCTAGGTGATTGGCATGTAAGCCATAGGAACTAGAGTCTTGAAGTCATCTCTGACAGCTTAAAATGTCTCTAGCAGCTGATATATTTACCAAGGAGCCAATTTCTGTTGCTTTTGGGACACTTGAATCTGGAGCAAGTCACTGATTCTTTCTAACTTTTTTGTGCATGTCAAATCAGGGGAATAATTCCCCATTCTTTTTTTCCTCATATACTGCCATGAAAATGAGTAGGAGGCTCACACCTGTAATCTCAGCACTTTGGGAAACCGAGGCAGGCAGATTGCTTGAACCCAAGAGTTCAAAACCAGCCTGGGCAAAATAGACCCTGTCTCTACTAAAAATAAAACAGATGTTTTTAAAAAGAAAATGAATAGGTTAATTAAAACAGTGATGTCTAACAGTTAGTAAGAGAGTAAGGTGATTCAGAGGACAATTTCTGGAGCTGTGCTGCATAGGTTTAAACCCCAGAGGAGGCCGGGTGTGGTGATGCCTGTAATCTTAGCACTATGGGAAGTCAAAGTTGGAGGATTGCTTGTGGCCAGGAGTTCAAGACCAGCCTAGAAAGACCCTGTCTCTACAAAAAAATTTAAAATATTAGCTGAGTATGGTGACACATGCCTGTAGCCCCAGCTACTTGGGAGGCTGACTTGGGAAGATTGCTTGAGCCCAGGAGGTCCAGGTCACAGTGGGCTGTGATCCTGCCACTACACTCCAACATGGGTGACAGAGTGAAACGCTGTCTCAAAAAAAAAAAATGAATCCCAGAGGAGCTGTCTTTGTGCCTCAGTATTCTCATTTATAAGGGGAATAATACCTAGCTTAGGGGATATGAATATGAGATGAGGCCATGTATGTAAAGCACGTAGAATAGTGCTTTGCATTAAGAAGTGCTATATGAGTGTCAGCTGTGCTTCTGCTGGTAAGCTCATGATGAGGAAATCTTTTGGTGAAAAATTGGGGATCATTTTAGTTTAGTTTCGTCCACTTTTGAGATAGGATCTCACTGTGTCACCCAAACTGGAGTGCAATGAGGCAATCATGGCTCACTGCAGCCTTGACCTCCTAGGCGCAACTATCCTCCCACCTCAGCCTCCTGAGTAGCTGGGACTACAGGCATGTGCCACTGTACTCAGTGTAATATGACTTTTTATTGATACTCTGCCAATTTTGAAAACTTTTTTGTTGAGATATATTTTGCATAAAGTGTACAGATCCCAAGTGTACAGCTCAGCAAGTTTTTACTTATATACACAATGTGTAACCATCCAGATAAAGATATAAAATATTTCTAGTACTGCAGGAGCTCCCCTTGCCCTTTCCCAGTAAGTACCCACTCAAGGCAGTCAATCATTGATCTGACTACTACCATCATAAATTAGTTTTGCCAGTTTTTGAACTTCATATAGATGAGATCATATAGTATGTACTTCTTTGTTTCATTTTAACATCTATTTTCTTTTAATTCACTGTTATTTATCAATTGGCTACAACCAGATTTCACCCCAATTTTTATAACACAAACCTAGTTTGAAGGCTTACAGGTTTTTAATATGTATTTCTTTAAATGTCTAACTTTTTAGACAGTCTGGGCTGTGGTGTGCTGTGCTGATCAGGTGTCCGCATTAAGTTTGGCATCAATATGGCGACCTCCCAGGAGTGGGGTCCACCAGGTTGCCTAAGAAGGGGTGAAATGGCCCAGGTCAGAAAGTCTTACTACTAAGTGCAGTTTGAACAACCCTAAAACTGTTTTCTCTTGTTCCACTTTACTGTAGGTTCTTCTGAACATCCATGATAATGAAGTCATTGTGGGGATTGCATTGACTGAAGAGAGTCTCCACCGAAGAAATATCACACATTTTGGACCTACAACTCTTAGATCAACTCTTGCCTATGGGATGCTCAGGTAAGAAAATAGTGTGCTGTCCAGCTTAAAGTGGTACCTTGGTTTGAATTTCCCCTTCAGAACACTGATTTGTATATGTGTGTTTGAGGTACTGTGTTGGAAGGCAGTGGATCAAGAATAGGATGGAAAGCTAATGGTCTATTTCTTTCTAGTATTGACTCCTTGTGGCCTGAAAATACTGCCTAATAGGTATCTCAGTTTTCTTTATTGTATTTATTTTTTTTAGACAAAGTCTCACTCTGTCGCCCAGGCTGGAGTGCAGTGGTATGATCTCGGTTCACTGTAACCTCTGCCTCCCAGGTTCAAGCAGTTCTCCTGTCTTAGCAGAGTAGCTGGGATTACAGGCAGCTGTCACCATACCCAGATAATTTTTGGGTTTTTGTTTTTTTTTTTTTTTTTTTTTGAGACAGAGTCTCACTTCATTGCCAGGTGCTAGACTGGAGTGCAGTGGCGCAATCTTGGCTCACTGCAACCTCCGCCTTCCAGGTTCAAGCAGTTCTCCTGCCTCGGCCTCCCGAGTAGCTGGGATTACAGGCATGTGCCACACGCCCAGCTAATTTTTGTATTTTTAGTAGAGATGAAGTTTCACCCCATGTTGGCCAGGATGGTCTCAATCTCTTGACCTCGTGATCTGCCTGCCTCGGCCTGTCAAAGTGCTGGGATTACAGGTGTGAGCCACCGTGTCTGTTTCACCGTGTTGGTGAGGTGGGTCTCAAATACCTGACCTCAGGTGACCCACCTGCCTCCACCTCCCGAAGTGTCAGGATTACAGGCATGAGCCACCTCACCAGCCAGTTTTCTTGATTTTAAAATCAGAGTGATAGTTTTTATCTGCCTCTTGAATGGGGTTACCACATTTCTGTTTAGCAAGGATATGCATGTTGACAGATAGAGCAAATTTTGCTGTTTCATTTCTGTGCAGTGAAAAAGATGAAAGCAGAGTTTTTTTTGTGTAAGGTGTAAATGAACAGAAAGAGCTTTTACTTAGATTTTTAAGCTTTGTACTTACAGCAACCCAGAAATTGTCCTAGAATTTTTCACTCTTCAGAGTGCAAGACCTGTCTTTCCTTCTTCTTTGCCCTTCTGTCTTTTATTGGGTGCTTCTTTTCACCACTTGAAAATGTTTATTTTCTCTAAGCTTCTGTTTTCCAGATGGCAAAATGGGTTTCATGTGAGACTTAAAGGATTATTAGTGAGGATTAAGTGCTGAAGCATATACAAAATACATATTATATACAGTTCCTGGTATGTTCTGGTACTTCAGTCCAGTAATGCATCTTTTATCAGGGATATGTTCTGAAAATGTGTCATTGCTCAATTTCATCATTGTGTGAACATCGTGGATTGTACTTATACAGATTTAGATGGTATAGCCTACTGTACACTGAGCTATATGGTATCTCCTGTTGTAAAGCATGTTATTATATTGAATATTGTAGTCAGTTGTAGCGCAGTGGTAAGTATTTGTGTATCTAAACATAGAAAGGGTAGGGTAAAAATACAATATAATTACTGCATTTATATATTTGGTCCATCGTTGATTGGAAGATTGTTATGCAGCGCATGACTGTATTCCTTCTCTTCTAATCTTTTATTTTCCTAACATACTAATTCAATGACAGTAATAGAAAATTGGGCCCATTTGATAAAGGAAAATCTTCTAATCCTTCTAATCTTCATTAGTTTAACAAATATGTATTATCTACTGCCAGGCATATGGTAGAAACCAGGGATACAGAGAGGGAATTATTTTAGGTACAAATGTTAAAAACCTAAGTAATCAAGTTTCAGATAGAAAAGTGATGATTGTGCCAGAGCGGGGTTTATTGGAAAGATAAAGAGAGAAATCTTGGAGATTCCACAGAAAAACTGAATGTTGGTTCTCAAGTAGGGTAGGAACCACATCTTGGAAAACCACCAGAAATGTAAGCAGCCATTTTTATCACCCTTAGAGCCTGTGGACTCTTGTCTCTTCTCATTTATATGCTGTCTCATCTGAATTTATGTATTTCCAATTTCAAATGACTAGGGCTTTTAGCTCTTTGTTCTTAAATTCCTGGAAGAGAGTATCTGATTGACATTATTTTGATAAGGTGTTTACCCCTTACTCATCAGGAATGGCTTGGAGTACAGGGTGTTTATCCCCTCAAAAAGGTTGCCAGGGATTCTGTTGCCATGTGCTGAGAAGTAGGAACAAGGAGATAGAACAGGACCAATGTTACAATAAGAGCCCACTGTTAACCCCCAAGAATCTAACTTGTGTGGAAGATAAATAATTATCATACATGTGTAAGTCCCACACCAGCACATGAAAAGATTAGAAGAATAAGAGAAGGGAAGAAACCTACTGAACTGTTGCAGGATGGGATGCTTCATAAAGAGGGTAACACTTAAGCTACTAACAATAATGCCTCTAATCTTGAATCTATTACCTACCGGTTTTGTGTCCCTGGGCAGGTAACTTCATGTTTCCTTGCATCAGCTTATCGTTAAAATGAGAATGATGATAATTATCTAACATGGTCTTACTGAGGATTCAGTAAAATAATACATGAAAAAAGCTTCAAGTCCATGCCCGGCAAATACTAAGTACTCAGAGTAAAGCATTTTTTTTTTTCCTTTTTTTATTACCTGGTTCCACAGAGCAATTTTTTTATGTCAAGATTATTTTTAAATTCAAAAGGAAAGCAATACTGAATATCTATTGCCAGTAACCTTATATTGAGGCATATTTTACTTGAGACATTTTCGAGTATTTTTAATGTAATACAGGTTTCTGTTGAAAACAACACTATTGTCTTAAGGTATGAGAGAGAGTGCATGTGTGTGTGTGTGTGTGTGTGTGTGTGTGTGTGTATTTTAAGATGTCTGCAGACTAAATTTCATCTGAAAGTGAAATGGGTTTTGGAAGATAGTCAAAGGAGATCTGGTTATATGTAATGATTTTTTTCCCCAGAGTAATAGAATATACAGTCAACATATCATTACAAATTGATTTTTTTTTTTTTTTGAGATGGAATCTTACTCTGTTGCCTAGGCTGCGTCTTGCATGATCTTGGCTCACTGCAACCCCTGCCTACTGGGTTCAAGCAATTCTCACATCTCAGCCTCCGAAGTAGCTGAGATTATGGGTGCCTGCCACCATGCCCAGCTAATTTTTTTGTATTTTTAATGGAGATGGGATTTCACCATGTTGGCCAGGCTGGTCTGGAACTCCTGACCTCAGGTGATCTGCCTACCTCAGCCTCCCAAAGTGTTGGGATTACCGGCATGAGCCACCATACCCAGCCACAAATTGATTTTTTAAATATTTGTAGGTTGGTGTTTCTTCATGCTAGTGTGATAGGTCTTCAATCTTATAGCTTCAGGAATCATTAGTATAAAGCCTCAGCTTTTAGTTGAGTGTTCACATAGGCTGTTTTCTTTTCTTTAGGCTCTGTGATCCTCTGCCTTATGATATAATAGTCGATCCAATGTGTGGAACAGGGGCAATACCAATAGAGGTAATCATATTTCTTTAGCTTTTAGATAACAGTGATACATCCCGAATATTCCAGACCTAATAGGCAAATTAGACATAATGAAATCTTCGTGGTTGGATCGGTGGACCCAAGAGTTTTAAAATAATTAACAATAGAAAAGTAGGAACTTTTTTGTAAAGAATATAACTACTTATTTCAAATAGCCAAGTGCCACTGAACTAGATAGATTGTTGGTGATATCTATTCACTAGGTTACAGAGGAAGCTGAGAATTAGAAACTGGTATGAGTCCTCTTTGTGTAACAGACAAGCTGGTAGACTTGAATGGGAATTGAAGGCATAAGCATAAACTTGAGGAAGGTAATTTTCTTCTCTGTAATCCACTTAAGTTCCTAGAGGGAATAAATATAGTTGTAAAAAGGGGAAACTTATGAACATTGCTTGGATTTTTAGGAAACCTGACAAGCTTAATACCAAATGCTCTTAAATAGTTTTCAAAATTACTGTGATATTAAGAGGGTTTATAAAAACTGTGTAAAGCAAAGCAAGAAATGGAAAGGCATTTTCTAAATGGATAATATGGCACAGTAGAGTCCCCTTGAATAATCAGTATCATCTATATGTTTTTAAACGATTTAGAAGAGAGAGCTCCCAGTAAAATCACTGAAATTTGTGTAAAACAGTTGTTCTTCCATATAGTATACTGAAAGCCAATTGGAATAAGCTGCAGGGAGATACTGCAGATTATATGATTGTGTAGAAACTGGACAGATGAGCAAGCCCACAAGGGGAGAAATAATTTAAACTGTAATTAGAAAATGATACATGTGTTCTGGGAGTTAAAATCCAAGAATGAAATCATAGAAGTCTACCTGATGACTGTGTTCTCTGAAAGCTAGAGAAATTACTGTCGCTAAAGAGATTTCACAGTGAAAACCCAACTGTGGCCAAGAAGGATTCTGGGAACAAAACAGAGTGTTGTTTTCTAGTATGAAATCATGATATGTATATGAAATAGCAGGTAAGGTCACAACATGTCAAGAAATACATAACAGAACTCTGAGTAAAAATAAAGGCTGAAAAAAATTAAAAGATGAAGTTTGAACCATTTCCATGTGAGAGTAGACATGCAGATGTCAATGTAGAAAACCTAAGCTGATAGATGATCAAAATGAATAAAATTATGAAGAAATTGACAAGATATATGTAAAGATTTGTTCACCAGAGTATAAAATACTTGATCTAGAATACTTTTTTTTAAATTTAGAAATACTATACTGTAAAACCCAACTCTTTCCAATGCTGAAAAATCTAAATAGGTTTAGTAGAAAAAAAAAAGGAATATTGGGGAATCAGAATCACTGAGAAGCTTCCTCAAACTCTAGGTCCCCTCTATTTCCCCACCCACCTGAAATTCTGGCATACATCGGCTTCTATTTTGTTTGAAGTCATTGTAGGATTATAGACAGGAGTATTTCATCAGCTTCTAGTGAAAACTTATGAAGCAGTTGTATTCATGGATGAGAAGTATGTTACTGTTCACAAAGGAAGAGGTGTTTGCTACTCATCCCCAAGTAGAGGCAAGCCTTTCTCTGCTTTCAGGTCAGAAACCTTCTGTTAATCTGCATAGAATGTTGTTCAGGCCTAGGGTCACATGTCACCTCATTGCACAAATGATATATGACAGTTTGGTATTTATGTTCTGCTGACAGGTTTTTTTATTTAAAGTTACTAAGTCCTTCCAGGGATATGGTGGTTACTATTCAAAAGCTTATCATACAAAGGAAATTGCATCATTATTATTATTATATAGTTATTATTATTATTATATAGGGTTCTGTGAGCCCCCCCTCCATGTTGGTGCAGAGACGAGAAACTGTAGACCCAGACACAGAGATAGAGAAAAGAAAGTTTGGGCTCGGGGGTCCGCTGCCACCAAAGCGCAGAGACCTGCAGTGGCACCAAGTGCCTGGACACTGACTTTTATTGAGTACAAAGCAGTGGGCAAGGAAGGTAGGGTGAGGTAATGGTGGTCGGTGATAGGGTCCGGTAAATCACGTGTCTTGGAGATAGGGGGCCCAATACTTTGAAGTAGCCAAGGCAATGAGAAAACCTAATGCATCAGCGTTCTTCACATATTTGTTAAAAATGTCAAGGACATTAATTCTTATCTTCTGAGAAAAAGAAACACCAGGTGCAGAAGCAGGGCGTGAGAGTAGACATGGAATGTGACCACTGAAGCACAGCATCACATAGAGAGAGTTAAGCCCCCCGGAAGTCTGTGGGCTTCCCTGACAGTGGTCAGGCCTTACCACGAGCTTGGAGAAGCAGAGTTTTCTTCAAACTTCCCCAGGAAGGAGATGTCTTGATCATTTTGGACATCTCCTTCCCTAGCTGGCTAAACAGCGGGTGCTTTCACAGTGCTGGCGCTGCCGCACAGCTAAGATGCCCTCCGGCAGCCCTTATGCAGGCGTGACAGAGGGCTTAGAGCATCTTGCCTTAGGATCACTTTGTTCACAATGTCACCTCAGTTCCATGCTTCATAACCCCATAGTCATTAGTAAAATTAAAGGTTATATTGAGTATATATCTTTATGATTATAAGTGAGAAAAGATTTATGATTATATAAAGGAATAACTATGTGCCTACATTTCTAATTCTTTTCCAAATCATTATTTATATGGGAACAGGCTGTGGTTTCAGATCCTTGCCAGGGCACTTGGGGTTTTCCCCTACAGTTATTCTTTTTTTTTTGAGATAGGGTCTCACTCTCTTGACCAGTACAGTGGTGTGATCTCAGCTCCCTGCAACCTCTGCCCCCCTGGCTCAGGCCATCCTCCCACCTCAGCCTCTTGAGTAGCCGAGATTCAGATGCACACCACAATGCCCAGCTGATTTTTGTGTTTTTGTAGATATGGGGTTTTGCCATGTTCCCAGGCTAATTTTGAATTCCTGGGCTCAAGAAATCCTCCTGCCTTGGCCTCCCAAAGTGCTGGGATATCAGGTATAAGTCACTATGCCCAGCCAGAAATTGCAATTCTCAAGTGTATCAGATTATGTAAACTCCCACAACCACAAAAGAGTATAGGTTTGGTCAGTTTGATTTGGTTAATATTTTCAAACCACATTTACGTAGAATTTATTTAGGATTTACTTAGTGTGCCAGACACTGCTGGATGAGGAACTGAATAAAATACGAGAACTTACCTCAAAGAGCTTGCAGATTAGTTGGGAGGCACAGAGGGGAAGAAATAATTAAAAGTAGAGCAAGTACAGTGGCAGAGGTGCTTACCTACAAAGTGCTTTTGGGAACGGCACGAGACAGCTTGGAGAGTTGAGGTTGATGAGAGGGCAGCAAGCAGTGAAAGAATCACAGTGTTTTCAGCCAGGGAAATAGCACAGTTGACAACATGCAATGTTTTACTGCTCTAGAAAAGCACGGGATTGTCTTTGTTTGTTGACAATTTAAATAATCATATTTTGCCATTTACTACTTTTAACACATTCTCTTATCTTTTAGGGCGCTACTGAATGGTCCGACTGTTTCCACATTGCTGGTGATAATAACCCACTGGCTGTGAATAGGGTAGCAAATAACATCGCATCTTTATTGACCAAGAGCCAAATTAAAGAAGGGTAAAAATTTAAGATTTCTTAGCATTTTTGACTGAGAGAATCACTTTTTACATTGACTTTATGAAGTAATACCCCCAGTGCATTGTGACATCATTGTAACCCAAATGAATAAACTGAGACTCCATTTACATTTTTAAAATTTATTGAAAATAATTTATATTTTAAAATCATTAATTATAATTTCCCCACCATATGCAGCTTTTCATACCTGTCTTAATATGTCTTTTCCCCCACATATTGGAAGAATATTCTATAGATTCATTTTAATTTTTAAACTTTATATTTTTACATAGTCTTCTTTTTTGCTGTGGGGACAGGGTCTCATTTTGTCACCCAGGCTAGAGTGCAGTGGCATGATCATGGCTCACTATAGTCTCAACCTACTGGGCTCAAGCAATCCTCCTCCCTCGGCCTCCCTAGTAGCTAGGAATACAGGCAAGTGCTACCATGCCCAGCTAATTTTTTAAACTCTTTAGAGATGGGGTTCTTGCTGTTTTGTCCAGGCTGATGTCAAACTCCTGGCCTCAGGAGATCCTCCCGCTTTAGCCTTCCAAAATGCTGGGATTATAGGCATGGGTCACCACACCCAGACCATAGTCTTTTTAAGTCGCTATATAAATTCCATTGTATAGAAATGCTACAGTTTATATAGTCTCTTCTCTGTTTTTGTTACTTTCTAAGTCCTTGGTTAAATATTTTTCTCTGATCTCATTTCTTAGGAGAGTGCTTTTCAAACATTAGTGTACATGTGAATCACCTGGGGGTACTGTTAACACAGATTTGATTCAGTAGTTTGGGATGGGACCCAAGAGTCTGCATCTTCCAGGAAACTCCTTTCAGTTTTCTTAAATACTAGTTTATTTTATTGTGATGAATTAGTTTTGAATGGTTGTTTCATGGAGTTTCTTTGAGCCTAGTATATGGCCAGTCTTTTTTAATTCAAACTGATGAATATTTAAACAAACTTTCTTTTCTAGCTTCTGAATATTTTATCTTGTTCACACCTACACTTTTTGTCTATTCAACTTATACATTTCTATCCGTTTTACTTTGGTTTTTAATATTTTTTGCCTTATGCTTTGTTTTGTGCAGTCATTGATATGTGGTTATAATACATACCTTTAAAAATTATGTATTGATTGCCCTTATTGTATTTTTTTCTTAAATTCTTCATTAAATATCAATTAAATCCTTAATTTCTGCTGATAACCTTTGACTTACCTTCAGTTCCTAACCTGTGCATTATTTTGTTTTTCCGTTTTTTTGGTTTTTTTTTTTGAGACGGAGTTTCTCTGTTGTTATCCAGACTGGAGTGCAATGGCACGATCTCAGCTCACTGCAACCTCCGCCTTCTGGGTTCAAGCAATTCTCCTGCCTCAGCCTCCCGAGTAGCTGGGACTACGCCAGGCGCTCACTACCATGCCCAGCTAATTTTTTGTATTTTTTTAGTTGAGACAGGGTTTCACTTTGTTGAGCAGGATGGTCTTGATCTCTTGACCTCGTGATCCACCCGCCTCCCAAAGTGCTGGGATTATAGGTGTGAGCCACGACGCCTGGCCTATTTTGTTTTCTTAAACCAGTTGCTTTGCCTTAATGGGGAGGATTTAAATCCTTTGTATTTATTATTCATTCTGTCTTCTGTAATCTATATTTACATTAACTGTTTTCTTAGTCTTGTTTTATATAGCATGGTCCATATATTTCCTTTTGTTTTTTCATCTTAAAACGATGACTTATATATTTACCAATTTTACATATCTGTTTTTCTTTTAAGGTCTCCTGTTATTACTAAATCGCTTTACAAACTTTATTCTTCACATAAGTCATCCCAAAATGTAATTTACTGCTTTGGCTGCTTTTTCTTTTTTTTTTTTTTTTTTAAGACAAGAGTCTCACTGTGTCACTAGGCTGGAGTGCAGTGAAGTCATCTTGACTGACTGTAACCTCTGCCTCCTGGGTTCAAGCTCTTCTCCTGCCTCAGACTCCCAAGTAGCTGGGACTACAGGCATGCTCCACCATGCCTGGTTAATATTTGTATTTTTAGTAGAGATGAGGTTTCCCCCATGTTGTTCAGGTTGGTCTTGAACTCCTAACCTCATGATCCACCTGCTGTGGCCTCCCAAAATGCTGGGATTACAGGCATGAGCCACCGAGCCCAGTCTTCGACATCATTTTTAAAGTTGCCTTTTGCAGTTCTCTTTGCATTACAATCATATTTTCAGTTTGTTCTTTTTTCTTTTTTGAGATGGGGTCTTATTCTGTCACCCAGGCTGGAGTACAGCGGCACAATCGTAGCTCACTGCAGCTTTCAACTCCTGGGTGGGCCCAAGTGATCCTCCCACCTTAAGCCTCCTGAGTAGCTAGGATTATAGGCGTGTCACTTTGCCTTGCTAACTTTTTATAAGTTTTGTAGACAAAGTTTCACTATGTTGTTCAGCTGGTCTCAAATTCCCGGACTCCAGTGATCATCCCACTTCAGCCCCTGAAAGTGCTGAGATTATATGCACAAGCCACCGTGCCCAGCCTGACCTTCTATTTTTTATCTTCACGCCACTTCTTAAATTTTGAATAGGTTGATATTATCACTGATAGTCTTAGCATTTTATATTTTGCTGTAGCAATCTCTTTTCAGAAAAAAAGAAATTGTTTTAACAATTTTATGCTTCACAATATGTTGAAGCACCTTTCCTTTGTCCCCACAGCAAACCATCCTGGGGCTTGCCCATAGATGCTGTTCAATGGGATATCTGCAATCTGCCATTGAGAACTGGCTCTGTGGATATTATTGTAACAGATTTGCCATTTGGAAAAAGGTGAGAACTGGTTGGGTTTATTTACTGAGTTTAACTTTCACTCGTTATACTAGTACCTGCTTGTCTTCTAAAAGTGTCATTATTTTCCTTCTTATTTTAAGTCAGGAAAAAAAATTTTAATTTTAGCAGACTTAGCAGAGCTATTTTTCACTTAACATTATGATGGATTCACCCATTATGTTTCTTCTGAGAACTCTCAGGAACGTATTAACTACATTTTGAATCCTGACCATCATAGGAGGTTCTTTTTGTTTTTTTTTTGAGACAGTCTTACTCTATCGCCAGGCGCCAGGCTGGAGTGCAGTGGTGCGATCTTGGCTCACTGCAACCTCCGCCTCCCGGGTTCAAGCAATTCTCCTGCCTCAGCCTCCCGAGTAGCTGGGACTGTAGACGTGCGCCACCACACCCAGCTAATTTTTGTATTTTTAGTAGAGACAGGGTTTCACTGTGTTGGCCAGGATGGTCTCAATCTCTTGACCTCGTGATCTGCCCGCCTGGTGCTGGGATTACAGGCGTGAACCACCGTGCCCGGCCTAGGAGGTTCATTTTTAAATTACCTATAATTCACTTTCTAGCCCATTCTTGAATTATATATTTTACACAAAAAGGTGGTGGAAGACTTGATTCTGTTTCTCAACATAAATTTTTTTTTTTTTTTGAGACAGAGTCTCGCTCTGTCACCCAGGCTGGAGTGCAGTGGTGCACGATCTCAGCTCACTGTAACCTCTGCTTCCTGGGTTCAAGCGATTCTCCTGCCTCAGTCTCTTGAGTAGCTGGGATTACAGGCATGTGCCATCACACCTGGCTAATTTTTGTATTTTTAGTAAAGATGGGTTTCACCATGTTGGCCAAGTTAGTCTCGAACTCCTGACCTCAGGTGATCCTCAGCCTCCCAAACTGCTGGGATTACAGACATGAGCCACCACACCGGGCCTAAATGATTTCTGATCACTTGTTTCGTTTATAGTTTGACCGCTTATTACACTCAGTAAGAGGACAAGTTACATAACTGACATAGTTGTCCAAAAAAATTTTTGATTCAGCATTCTAAGCAGTTTACTAACTCAGCTTATTTCATTGACATGTAATGGCAAAGGTCTGAAAATACAGCTATTTTTCAAGCCTCAGGATGCATGAAACTGTTTTAATATGGCCCTTCAATTTTATATCTTTTGCAAGTGTTTGACTCATTATATCTTCTATTACAGGATAGGATCCAAGAAAAGAAACTGGAACCTTTATCCGGCTTGCCTACGGGAGATGAGCCGTGTCTGCACACCTACCACAGGCCGAGCTGTACTACTTACTCAAGACACAAAGTGCTTTACCAAGGTGCTATACAATTAGCTCAAAATCTCAGCCTGGGGCAACTTTCAGATATTTTTGAGATTTGTGGATGTTGATTTGGATGGGATTTGTTTTTTCTTCCCCTGAGGTTTCTTACCTGGCAGCTAAGAATCCTGGTTGGTGTAAAAGTAGATTGTCAACCTAATTTTTATGCTTTTTGTGTGTACACAGGCATTATCTGGAATGCGACATGTATGGCGAAAGGTGGATACAGTCTGGGTGAACGTTGGTGGTCTTCGTGCTGCAGTTTATGTTCTGTTACGTACACCTGAAGCTTTTGTTCATCCTTCAGAACAAGATGGAGAAAGAGGAACTCTTTGGTAATGCAAAGAATGAAGATGACTAATAGTACTTGTACTTCCCACCACTGGAAATGTTAGCGTAAAGAACTTGGAGAGAAAAATAGTATTAACAAAAGTGCAGTCTGCACTCTTTAAACCTGTTCAAGGCTCTTCGTCCTGGTTAGCAAAAGGTGTGAATGTAATGTGATGGAATTGAAAAGTTTTATGTGGCCAGGCAGTGACTCACGCCTGTAATCCCGGCACTTTGGGAGGCCGGGGTAGGTGCATCACCTGAGCTTGAGTTCGAGACCAGCCTGGACAACATTGTGAAACCCCGTCTTTACTAAAAATACAAAAATTAACCAGATGTGGTTGGCAGGCCCCTGTAATCCCAGCTACTCACGAGACTGCCCGGAGGCAGAAGTTGCAGTGAGTCAAGATCACTCTGACAAGAGCAAAACTCCGTCTGAAAAGTTTTGTAAGAAAGCACAGCCTCTCCTTGAAGCTCTTTTGAAATGATACCTTAATTTTGCTTAAAATATTTTATAAAGATGCTTAGTGAAAAGCCCACAAAAGTGCTCTGTGATTGGGGTTTAGAACATTTTATTTTCAGGCTTTATCACCTATTTTCCATTGTCAAGTACAAAACTACCCTGGCCCAAAGCAAAGGCAAAGAACATAATCACATCTTAGGCCACATTTCTCTGCCTTTGCAGCTTTGCTAATCCAGTTGCTCAAGTTCTTTACTTCAAACTCAAGAAATGAAGCATTATTACATTTTGTGAATGGTATTCAGCCTCTAGGACAAAATCTCCTAAGACCTATAGGAAAGTTTACCATCTGCCTTAAAGTATCCATTTATTATTCAGATTAATACATAGAACTAAAATAGAGGTCTAGGAATTATCAAAAGGACTGCAAAAATACCATTAGTATAGAACATTCTTACTTGTAAATAACACATACATTGATAGATGGGGTATGGGGCCAACAAACCAAATTAATTTTTTTTTTTTTTTCAGTATACTAAGGTGTGTGTTGCTTTTCAAAACCAAACACAGCCTCTCGAAGTATTTATTTGTTGGCTAGTTTATTAAACAGCCAAGAGGGAAAAAAAATGATCTTTGAAAAATCTTTAATTTGGGAGTTATATGAGTTTGTTATTTTCTCCTGGATCACTATTCACATTTAATTGCTTTTCCATTTGCAACAAGCCCTTGAGAGTTTTGTGGAAAATGGTGCTTCCCTGGAACAAAGAGTAGTTGAGGTTTTATGTGGAACTCATCATAGTATTCAGTTGATTTTGGAGCATCTGGCTGCATTCAGCATAGATTTTCAGTATCCTATTAGTCTTTTAATACTTCTATTCATAATACTTTTTGATATCTCCATTTCAAATAAAAGGACACAGTACTTTCTTCCTTTGAAAGCAGAATTCACCTTAGCAGCACAGCCAGCAATCCTTATCCAGTTTCTCCAATCTACCCTATACTTCATAATGAATTGAAGATAAGATGTTTATGAAGGTTTTATATCCTACACTGGCCTTTTCAGCATCAGAATTCACACAGCTGCTGTATTTATGGGCTAAACACAAAACTTTTCACCCAATGAAAGCAACCATTTAAACCTCAAATTAAGTAAGTAACCCACAGAATCGTGAAGTTCAAGGACCATGTCTGTTTTCACCACATTTTTTTTTTTTTTTTTTTTTTAAACTAAATGCCTGGTACCATATCTGCCAGAGTGGGCATTTGTTGAACAAATATTTTGGCATATTAGCTTAGTTTTTGAGGAAATAAATTTTGCTTGACCTATCATAACTTTCTTCTAAATACTACAATAAAAGTTTTACAAGACTGATACAAGTATGTAGGGGGCAATAGTTTGCCATCTTCTTTCCTAGTATAGTGTTTTGCAATATGGCAATTAGAATAGGCAATGGGCTGCGGGCAGGATTCAGAAGGTCTGGAGTTACATGTGACACTGCTGCCTATTCATTGTGTGACCTTGGTTTTAACCTTCGAACTGTCTCTCCTGGACTAAAGGAATGTGAAAAGATGGGGAAAGGAATCTGTAATCTGAACATGGAATGACTGAGTTACAGACCAGACATGTTGTTGGGAATGAAAAATATATTCAAGGGGAAAAAATGTAAACATTGAGAAATATTTTACAAATCTAATTGGGGGAGATAGTTACCTCCCAATACTAGAGTATACCAGAGTGCTTATATATAAGGTGAACATTTGTTTACCCTTATTTCTTTAAAAAATGGGAGTTTAGGAAATTCTGCCATAACTGTAGGCCCAATGTCAGATAGGACTTAGGTTAAGTTGAAGACTGAAAAAGGAAAGATTTGGAAATATCTTTGGACCCTCAAGTACATTAAAGCCTATAAGTCCTTCATATTCATTAATAAGATAAGCATAGAAAAAGATAGCAAAAAGTATCACATTGCTTATGAAAGTCTTCCCTATCGCCCCTTAATTCTTTTTGTCCTAGGCAAACATGTTTGTCAATGAGTTACAATGGTGAAGTTGAGGAACTCTGCTTCCTGTCCTAGCATGCCCATTATCCCAGCCATTCAGTTTAATATAAAAAGTCACTTTAACTCCATGAGGTCATTCAACAGGTACTTATTTATGTGTGTTGTGCTAGAGTAGTCATTTCTTAAACTTTGTGGCCTCAGTGAATTCATTCTAAAAAACTGAGGGCCCCAGATCACTTTTTTTACCATGTTAGAAACCTAAATATTATAGTTACAAATGCATTAATATTTTAGTGTTGTATTTTAAAAAAAATAATTAGGTGGGCCTGGCATGGTGGCTCACACCTGGCACTTTGGGAGGCTGAGGCGGGCAGATCACCTGAGGTCAGGAGTTGAAGACCACCCTGGCCAACATGGTGAAACCTTGTCTCTATTAAAAATAAAAAATTAGCCAGGCATACTAGTGTATGCCTGTAGTCACAGCTACGCGGGAGGCTGAGGTAGGAGAACTGCCTGAACCCATGAGGCAGAGGTTGCAGTGAGCCAAGATCATGCCACTGCACTCCAGCCTGGGTGACACAGCAAGACTCTGCCTCAAAAAAATATATATCACATTCAATATCACTATCTCATTAAGTATTGGGAAGTGTCAAGTTCCTGATACTAGGCACAAGTTTTCCCAAAATTCTGATTTTTGACTCAGAGTTTGATTTTATTATTGAAAACAATTGCTGCCAGTTGTTAGACTCCAAGGAAATAATAGATAATTCAGCTTGCATAACCATTTCAAAAAGTTAGGTACTCAAAGGTCTAAATTTAACAAAATGTCACTGCTTTCACAAGGACATTTCATGAGTGCAGCTGTTTTTTTTTTTCTTTTGTGGGGGTCCACACCACAAATGCATGGCAGTGAAGAATAACTTATAGTTTGATGCCACCTCAGTTTCTGCCAAGGTGCCTGAAGTTTTACCTACTGTTGCCTTATCACCATTCTTACAAATGTCAACATACAGTTTAGGATACACCATGAGATTTTAAAAAGTTATTCCACACTTGCATTACTTCAGGACGTGTTTCTTGCCAACACATAAGAGTATCCTTAGTTGATGCTGATACCTGGCAAATAAAAGCCAAATAACAAGTCCAGCCACGTTCACACACACATCCATTTATAAAGTATAAGCACAGTCAGTCCATAGCCTCAGGTTCTCCATCTGCAGATTGAACCAAATGTCCTTGAAAATATTTGAGAAAAAATTATAACAATACAAATATAAATATGTAATGTAACAACTATTTACACAGCATTTATACTGTGTGAAATATTTAAAAATCTGGAAATGATTTAAAGTATATGGGAAGATGTGTAAAGTTGTATGCAAACACAGTGCCATTTTATATAAGGGTTTTGGTGTTCTGTGTATGTTTCTATACAGTATTACAAAGTAACTTATCCTTTAAGATACTTAGGTAACTTGTTCGAACATTTCTAGCTTCAAACTTGGTTTTCTTTTCAGTAGCAGCATACCTGCATTAAAAAATACTCAGTACCATCTAAAATGCAATTAAAAAAAAAAGGGGTAAACTATTTGAAGAAGAAAAAACTACTCAGTACCTTACCAAAAAAAGCCATCTGAAGGATTGGTTTCAAAATGATGCCACAACAGAGGTGGCACCAACACTATTTAAAATCATTCCATTCCCATCTCTAAAAAAATTTTTGGCTGGGTACGGTGGCTCACGCCTGTTAACACAACATTTTGGGAGGCCCAAAGCAAGAGGACTACTCACAGCTAGGAGTTGAAGAGTAGCCTGAACCACATGGCAAGATCCTGCCTCAAAAAAAATTGTTTAAAAAAAATTTTTTTTAAAGCCCAGGCTTGGTGATACATGCCTATAGTTCCAGCTACTCAGGAGGCTGAGACAGGAGGATTGCTTGAGCCCAGGAGTTTCAGGATGTAGTTCACTATGATGGCACCTGTGAATAGCCACTGCACTGCAGTCTGGGCAACATAGCAAAACCTCAATCTCCAGGAAGACAAAAGAACAAGATTATTCTACTGCAGACATGGTAAGGTAAATATCTCCAAAGCAGAAAGATAGGTTTCATATTTCTATTAGTTTTTTGTTAGTCATTCCAAATCAATCTTGTTTTTCTAGCATTTAGTATGCAGATGGTATAGCCGAGAAGTAGGTAAGAAGCAGTCTTTTAAAGCCAATGATCCATTCTTAAATGAGAAAAATATAGATTTATTTTAGAATAGTTATTAAATTCTAAAGTTGTAAAATTTTTAATTTTGGGTATTTTAGGAAAATATTTAAACCACTGCAAACAACACAACAAAATGTACTTCTTATGTTCATGCTTAGGCACGAAAACTATAATATTCAGGTTGCAAAGATTACTGAAGGCATAACCTAGTGAGTTATTTCTAAAAATGAGAAAAGGGGAAAAAACTAATTTTAAAAAGTATGCATACCTAAACCTACCTAACCACACCTTAGAGAATTCAAGTATAGCACCATTCATTAACATCAATGACGATGTCATCACACATCATGGAGCCTCTGAACACTGAGAGAATGAGTGAAAAAGGGAAGCATCTTGCTATCATGAAAATAGTTTTGACCTCGCAGACCTCTCTGAGCTTAGGCAACGGATAAAGCCATAAGCATTGTCCTGCTGTCAAGGAGCAACCTAAAGTAGGGGAAAGAAACAAAATTACAATTATGAGAAGAGCTTTTGACAACATTCAAATGGAGGATACAGTATAGTAGGGGTGAGGGTATCAAGGAAGGCCTCCTTGAGAAGTGATGTTTTGAGACCATTCTCTCTACTCAATAACTGACATTTGGTTCCTGAATCCTTTAACTTCCTTCTGTTGTTGCTGTTAAGCCAAATTTCATTACCTGATGTCTACACTACTGTAAGAGTACCAACCACCTAAGTGGTCTCTCTGCTTTCAAATCTCTCCATCCCTACAACCTATCCTATATCCTACAGCCAGATTAAACTCCCTAAAAGAATGTTTCCATCAGATAAAGGTATACAAGCTAGTTAGGAATACAAATCATCACTCACACCTGAGTTTCAATCCCTAGCCCTCAATTTACTGTTTTCTATGGGAAAATTGCTCAAACTCTGAGCCTTAGTTTCCTACTCTGTAAAATGGGGTTTTATATATAAGGAACATAATAAATACAAGAAGTATACCTCAAAAACACTGCAGGCTCAATCCCAGAGCACTACAATAAAGTCTCATGAATTTGTTGGTTTCCCAATGCATCGTTTAAGTTACGGTTCCACTATACCATAGTTTTAAAAGTAAACAATAGTATTATGTGTAATTGATAAATACTCCACTGCTAAAAAATGCTAACAATCTTTTTGCTGCTGAAGGGTCCTGCATTGGTTACACTATACCACAGTTTTAAAAGTAAACAATAGTATTATGTGTAATTAATAAATACTCCACTGCTAAAAAATGCTAACAATCTTTTTGCTGCTGGAGGGTCCTGCATCAATGTTAATGATGGCTATTAACTCATTAGGGCGGTGCCTGTTGAAGATTGGGATGGCTGTGGCAATTTCTTAAGAATAAAGTTTGCTACACTGACTTCCTTTCACAAGACTTCATCTGTTTGATAGCATGATAGCATTTTACCCACCGAACTTTTTTTTTCTTTTTTGTTTTTGAGACAAGCTCTCTGTCCCCCAGACTGGAGTGCAGTGGCGCCATCTTGGCTCACTGCAACCTGTGCCTCCCAGGTTCAAGAGATTCTCCTGCCTCAGCCTCCCAAGTAGGTAGGACTACAGGAGTGCACTACCACACCTGGCTAATTTTGGTAGAGACGGGGTTTCACCACGTTGGCCAGGCTGGTCTTGAACTCCTGGCCTCAAGTGATCCATCCACCTGCCTGCCTCAGTCTCCCAAAGTGCTAGGATTACAGGTGTGAACAACCACACCCAGTCAGTAGAACTTACTTAAAAATTAAAGTCAACTCTCTCACACCCTGGCACTGCTTTATCAACTAGGTTTCTGTTATATCCGAAATAGTTTGTTGTCATTTTAACAATGTTCACAGCAACTGCACCAGTAGATTCCATATCAGGAAACCACTTTCTTCGCTCATCCCTAAGAAGCAACTCCTCATCCATTCAAACTTGATCATGAGGATTGCAGCAATTCAGTCACTTCTTCAACCCTCTACTTCCAGTTCTCTTGCTATTTCTACCACACCTGCAGTTACAGGTGTCTTGTGCACAAAAGGCATTCAATAACTATTATTAGTTCATTTCTTTGCCTATAGTATTCACTAGAGTATGTTACCATTATTATAGTAGGCAATACCTCAGTCTGAAATTCAATTTTAAATCAATGTCAGTAAAAAGAGAAAAGGCTGTAAAGACTTTTGACTGAGTTTACCAGAATCCATAAACTAGAGGTGAGATAGGTGATGAAATAACCAATTCTGTAAACATGATTTAAAACGATGTTAGTAGGAAAAGCCAATGTTACATAAGTATTAAAAAAAAAAAAAAAAAAAAAAAAAAAAAAAAACAGAAAACGAAAAGTGACTGATGACTGAGCTCTAGGAAAAAGCTGGAAAGCAGGATTATTAAATGTAACCATGACTGAGATAAAAAGAGGCAGGAAGTCTTTCTTGTCACTAAGAAAGTACACTCCATAACAGAACAGAAAGAATTCATTAGGTTTAACCCTGGTCTAGATAAAACAACTATTTGATTCAATGCTCACTAACAACTTCTCTAATAATCCAATATATTATCTAATCTCAAGAACGCAGAGTCATGGACAAGAAAAAAAGTCTTCTTGAGAAGTATGCCCTCTAATATAAACTACCATGCCACTAAATTAGCAACCTGCAAAGTCCAACGCCACCAGACTTCTGGATTTGCAACCTAACAAGGTGCTCTACAACTAACTTAACAGTCAAACTAGTGTTGCAAAACAGAATTATATAATTACACCAAGCCCCCATTCACAAAAAATATATGGAAGTAACCTATCTAGTTTAACTTTTGCAAATCTCACACACACACACTAGACCTCAAAACCTTCACCAGCTTTCTCATGCAAGTACAAGTGTGTAATATACCTAATAAATTTGTCTTGTAAGTGTAGTAAGTAGTATGTAACTACTTGGAAAGGAGATAGGTAGCTGGTTAATTTAAACAAAAAGCCCAAGGAAGTATAGCATAGGAAGAGGCTAATTGCAATGGTTAGTACAGGAAACCCAAAGAAGTGAATGATGGGATAAATGTATTCAGAGACGAGGAGGCATCAGTTTCCTCTATGAATAGAATATTAGGAGACTTGAAGTAGGTTAAATGGACCCTGAAGTCTCTCCTGAAAAGGAAGCTTGTTGATATGTTTTGTGAGCTTAACTATTACTTGAGAATCAATTTCACATATAAACCAACAAAACTAACATGTTTTGAGCTCCCAGCTCTGTGCTTGGCACTGAGGAGTGAAAAATCGCTTTCCTTAAGGACTGCAATTAAGCAGGAGAAACAAAAAATAAGGTGAACTTCTCTTGTTTGAAAATATATTTCAACATTCCTTGTTAAAAAAAAAAACAAACCTGACCTACAAGTTTCCAAAAATATTAATTACTATTCCTCTTTGCCTTTCAAAATGTTTTCCCATTCTGTTATTTTTTTAGGGGGAGGAAAAAACAGTTCATTTGAGAAAATAAATTGAGGGACATGTACCGTACAACTGAGAAGAATTTCTCCGAAATTTTAATCATTTTTGGCAGGTAAATAGGGATACTATAGCCCTGGGGTTCTGAGTAAGCAAATGAACTTGAAAAGATACCAAATTACACAGCCTGCCCAGTGGGGTTCCACCTTCCCCAAAAGAATTCAGCATCTTCCATGGTCTGGGAATCTGTATTAAGTAAGACAACTAACTGTCTCTGCACACAGGAAGTTTGAAGACCACTGACCAAGGGTCTTATTCTCTAAAGAGAAACTTTAAATTAAAATGTATTTTTAAAAGGATATTCAATGGCCCAGGGCAGTGACTCATGCCTGTAGTCCCAGGACTTTGGGAGGCTTAGACAGGAAGGTAACTTGAGCCCAGGAGTTCCAACCTGCTCAGCACAGGAAAACCCCATCTCTACCAAAAAAAACAAACCACAAAAATTGGGCATGGAAGCATGTGCCTGTAGTCCCAGCTACTCAGGAGGCTGAGGCAGGAGGATCACTTGAGCCCAAGAAGTCAAGGCTGCGTGAGTCATGATCATGCTATTGCACTCCAGACTGAGTGACAGGGTAAGACTCCATCTCAAAAATAAATTATTAAAATGTGTAAGATTAGCACATAAAAAGCATTTGGTGTTAAAATGTTGGTATTAATTTATAATTCCTCAGGATAAAACTTAGTTACTGTTTTCTGTAACAGAAGACATGATGCTTATGGCTCCTCCAATCAAGTGTTTCCCAGAAGAGAAAACGTATAGGACTAAAATTTAGGGCTGGGTTCATTTATATCAGAGAGACCCATTCCTCATTAAAGTTGTTATATTTAATTATGTAACTCCTGTCACAGTTCAATGGAATCTCACGTCCCTAAAATTCATTATGCTTTTTTTTTCCTTTGAAATCCAAACTCATTAACACTTTTCTCAACACATTGTTGTCCAAGGCAGGCACATCTTTAAAAATGGTTGGATTTAGCTTTCAGCTAAATACATAAAAAGTAAAATTAAAAAAAGCAGTTAAATAAAATGTAATGGGCCAAAGAGCTTCAGGTTTTATTTCCTTACTGCTCAGTACAAAGAGAAAACAATCAATGTCCATGTATTCTGTAATCCAAAGAACAAGTCTGTGGCTACAGCTATACTGTCCATAGTTGCAATTTAAATTAGATAAAAAATAAAATTTCAGTTCTTTATTCCTACCAGCCACTTTTCCAATGCTCAAGATGAATAAAATATCAAACTGTAAAGACATTTACATGTCGCTTACTCCATTTACTTAGGGTTGGCTAGACATTAGAGTATACCAGGAGCTCAGGAATACAAGATACAAGAAACTGTCCCCTCATAAAGCTCAGAATAGTTACGATAATTTAAATCATCAATGACAACAACCTGAGAAATACTGAGTCATGCTCAGAAGTCAGGAGAAAACTCCTTTTTTAATAGGAGAGTTTTGCTCATAGGACAACAGACCGTGAAAGGCATGACCAAAGGGGAGAGGGGATGACATTTGAATCTGCAGGATCAGAAGCAGCAAGGGTAGCATTCCAGAAAGAACCACCCCACTGACAATGCCTCTCTGATTTGGGTAACTGCAAAGTATTCCATGTGACTTCAGGAGAGAGGTAATGTTTGTGTAATAAGTGGAAAACGGTGAAAATGAAAAAGCTGTTAAATTGAGTTAAGTCTATCCAGGGAACTTGTGCATCACAATCACAAAGGCAGAATTTATCCTATAAACCAGGGGTGTCCAACCTTTTGGCTCTCCTGGGCCACACTGCAAGAACTGCCTTGGGCCACACATAAAGGATGGCTGATGAGCCCCCCAAAAAACAAAACACCCGCAAAAAAATCTAACATTTTAAGAAAGTTTACGAATCTCTGTTGTACCGCAAAGCCATCTTAGGTCCCATGCGACCCGCGGTTTGAACAATTTGCTGTAAATTTCAGGTTTTCCTTTTACAAGGAATGTTGAAATATACAAGCAAGTAAAAGAGTTTTACTCCATTACAATACAAACCAGTAATGGAGTTTCATCTGACATTTTCATGCTCTATCTTCCTTCAAGACAATCTTCCTGACAAGATGTAAGATGGATCAGAAGATAACACTAAACAGAGACAGCAATTTGAAAGCTATCATACTGGCATCTGAGCTCAGTTACTGATGAGACCAGAAATGAAGGGATGGCTCGAGAGGTATTTCAAGGAAGAGAAAGGGAGGTGCTACCTAACCTCAGGTCAAATTCTCTGTAAAGCAGTAGTCAAGATTACCTGGACTGTGAAGAGGACCGGGGTAGAATCCCAGCAAAGGAAAAAGGATAAAATTAAAACCAAGGTAAACATTCAAGAACGTAAAGTAGGGAGGAATAAAAGCGCTGATGGGTAAGAGTCAAGCTCCAGCTCAAGCTTTAATTTGTGGTGGAACCAATCTGTCTGGTTTCATGAATCACCAGGCTACCCAAGATCAAGAGAGAGAGAAAGCCAGCGGTATATCTGAATACTGGATAAGCAAGTACAACAAATGGAAAATGGGATCAATGTATGAGTGAGAGTTGCTAAGATGCCCGGTAGGGATGCAGAGGGGAGAGCCTGGGGAGAGAGGTGGAGGGAGGGAAGCACTGGTTTCTGAAGCAAAGGCTAAAATTTTTCCATTTAGATTTAATCTGAGGTTATAACTTTGGTAGTGCAGCAAGGCTCTCAAATGGTGTAAAACTCAGGTGATCATGCCTTAATTTATCTCTATTTCTAGAAAAATACTCCAAAAACGATCTTAAGTAGTGATAATCTACAGTCTCGTTGCATAAAATCAGCCCCAGGTGAATGCCTAGGCTCTCTTTCCCTACCCCACCCTTATTACAATAACCTCCACATCAACTCAAGTCCGTGGGAACATAATCCGCCTCGCCCCTCAAATCTTACACCTGCTCACTCCGCTGCAGGGCAACGCCCTGGTAGCAAGCTAGCCTCTTTAAGTCTAGGCAAAAGAATCCCGCCCAGAATCGAGAAGCGACTCGACTTGGAGGCGATGACGAGATGAAAGGGGGGCTGGGAGGGCGGAGGGAGGGATTCTTCCAGGCCCAGGGCGGTCCTTAGAAGACCAGAGGCAGCAGAGAACTCTCTTAAAGGTATTGCGGCACTCCCCGCCCCCTGCACAGAAGGGTGCGGCCTTCTCTCCGCCTCCTCCACCGCAGCTCCCTCAGGATTGCAGTTCGCGCCGGTAGTTGGAGAACATGCGCCTCCCACCTACAAACCAGCCGAACCGACCCCCGCTCCTCCCCCACCCCCACGAGTGCCCGTAGCAAGTCGGGCCTGTCTCGCCCTTCAGGCAGCGGGCACCAGGGGCGGAACCGCGGCCGCCGCCATCCATAAGTCTCTGCCGGCAGCCCGCCCCCGCCTCCAGCGCGCGCTTCCTGCCACGTTGCGCAGGGGCGCGGGGCCAGACACTGCGGCGCTGGGCCTCGTGGAGGACCGTACCAATACCCGCCTCCCCGCCACCCCCGCGCAGTGGTTTCGCTCATGTGGGACTCGAGCCAGTAGCATGAGCCCGGTCCCCCAGCTTCGGCATCCAATCAGGTGTCGAAGGCAAGCAGGCGGCGGGTAAACCGACTCCCCCGAAGGAAGGGGAGGGTGAGAGAGGACGCCCACGCCGGAGCAACTTTCACTAACCCTCCCCTCCCGCCGCGGGAAGCCGGCCGCGCCCGCACACCCAGCGTCTCCCCACCCCATCTACCTACCCGCCCCACCCAGGGGGCAAGGCGAGGGTCGCTAGGCGGCTGCGCACTCCCCACGCTGTAACTGACAAGCGCTTTACTCCAACGAGAATACGCCATTTGTGTTTTCACACACGGCGGGAGGACAAGCGGCCAATCAGAGACAAGAGGCAAGCCGGAAGCGCTCCTCCCTCTGCGAGAGCAATGGCTCCGTCCGGTTTTGAGCCATGTTCCGCTCCCTTCTCCCTCCCGCTCCGGTTGCCGCAGGGCGGGCCTCCCTCCCGCCCGCATCCAACCACCCCTTTCTCTTCCACTGTATCAAACATTATGTTCCCAAACATTATGTTCCCGAGGGAAAGGCAACCCCCACAAGCCATTAGTCGGTCACCCCAGCCACCCATCCCCCCAGTCCACCGCACCTCCCCTCCCACCAGAGTTCCGCTCCCCTACCTAGCCGAGGCTCTCTGAGGAGCCGGAGCCCCAGAGCACAGCCTCTTCTCTAGGCGGCCCCGGCGGCTTCCCCTGATTGGCGGCGAGCGGACCAATGGGTGTGAGGCGGTGGGCGGAGAGGCCAATGGTGAGGCGGGAGGGGGCGTGTCCCGGGTGCCCCTGGCGCCGGCGCTGGGAATCCCCGTGCGGTCAGTGGCGTTTCCGCTCGGGCAGCGGGCTGAGTGAGCTGCCGCCGCCGCCGCCGCCGCTGCCGGGGGAGGGGCGGCCGCCGCCCGCCTGCGCTCAGAGACTCACGCAGCCCCAGTCCCGCCAGTCCGCCAACACAGTAGTGCCGGCCCTCCTCTTTCCCTGGCCCTCCCCCCTCCCCGCCTTTGGTTCGCTCCGCCTTTCTGCCCCCCACCCCCACTTCACGGGTACGGGCCATTCCCGGCCAGGAAACGCCGTGGCGCCGCGTTGGGCCTAACTCGAGTCCTGCCGCCTCCCGGGAGTGCCGTGCGCCGCAGCCCGGGCCCAGGCCCCGGCAGCGCCTGGGAAAAGGTAAGGGTCAGACAGAAAAGAGACCGACCCTCACGATCGGGCCCCAGGGGAGGGAAGGGTCACCTCCTCCGTCTCCCCGCGCTTGCTCTCCTTGGGTCATGGGCCTGGCCCTCCCCAAGCTCTTAGCAGGAGGATGCTGCCCCTTCTTATCCCCCTCGCCGCCTCGAACACATCGTTGCACCCCTTTTTCCTGGGGAGAGAGGCCCCTTCTAATCTAGGCGACCCCATTCCCTTTTTCATGTCTTTCCTGGGTCAGGACGCTTCCCCTCCCCCCACGCCTCTTCACCCCCTTTCTTGGGAACTGCCTACTCCACGTTTACCTTTCCCTTGAGGAGAGGCCTCTTGCTGCCCTCCGCTCGAAATACACAGGCATACTTTTTTTTCCTCTCCCCGATCCCCCCACTCCCCACCCCCGTTCTCGCGGCCTTGTGACAGACAACTCTGATCGTTCTAGGGCCGCGATCCTCCCATCCGTAATCTTCCTGGACGCCTTCCCTCTCGTTTTCTGGCTTCCTACCTCAGATGGCTGCTTCCCAAAGGCATTACCTTCGCCACCCCCACCTCGCGTTCTCTGGCTTCCCGTGGCGTGTGCCCCAGCGTGTCTGAGATAGCCTCATTGAATGTGTAGGGTTCGAGCCTGGAGTTGAGCCAGATTGTGTCGTTTTACTTGCCTTGGGCGTGGAGAGCGATCTTGTGAGAATATCTTCAAAGGGAGAAAATTTTACCCTTTATGAATTCTCTTTTCCTCTGCGTGTAAGTCGGGGATGTGAAGAGGTGCGTGGGAAAGAGCCCTGGTTCAAGTAGGTGAATCGCGTGAGAGAGAAAGTTTAACTGTTGGGAAAGCCCCTTCTATGCTAATTGATTCTGTAGAGCCTGTGCTTGTCTCACTTCTTGGGCGTCAGTGGTCTTTCTCTTGGATGCGGATGCTGCGGCCAGCTTTGCTGGTCTGGGTAAGGGGTGCGTGTATGACCTGGATTTTCTGCTTTCTCATGTTACTTCTGCAATGTATTCACCAGTAACTCATTTCTTGCCCAGACCTCTGGGTTCCACTGGGCTTTGTCTATATTTAAGTTCATTTTTCCAATTTTCTTCGTGCATGTAAGTACTTAAACGAATTCCCAAGCTCTCCGCCAATTCCCTTCATCACTTGACTAAACAAGTTGTTTTTAGATGACATTTGTGACCAAGGTCATATTTACATTTCTTTGTTGAGCCGATATTACATAGCTATACTTGTGATTGGGGAGAATCCAGCTGAGTGGAGTGTGCTGAGCTTTTCGGGAGAGAGTGTACTTCCTATTTAAAATTATTTTTTGGTGGTTAATTTTATTTTGCGTTTTTAGGTCACAGAGAAAGTTCTAAGTGGTAATTTTAGATGTGTGGGATCTGAGGTAGGACTAAAGCAGAGAATACTCACATAATCAAAGGTTTCTGGGCTCCTTGGAGGACACAGGGCATTTTTTTTTCTATTGGATTTCTTCCAGTTTTCTCAGGATCATTAATTTTCTTCTGTAGCCAAAAATTCGGGCCTGTTATGGGATTGGAATCTTTAAGGTTTACTCAGACTGTCATGTGTAGAAAAATGAATTATGCCCTTTGGTAGGACATGACACAAGGCTGTGTTTCTAGCTGCAAATTTAAATTCGGCTATAGAGTGCTTGGAAAATTGGCTTTCAAAAGACCAAAGCTTAATCTTCACTCCTAAACTGCTGGCTTAATTAAAATGGATATTTAGAATTCGGTAAATGTTGGTTTTTCTGATAAAAGGCCTTGGCTTAAAAGGGTGACCTTAGGTTTGTTTCTTTCTAAAAGCATAATTCCAGCCCTTCTGGCTTGGAGCACTGGTCCAAAAAAAAAAAAGTGTGTGTAAGGAGTGGGGGTGGGGTAAAGAGAAGGTTGTTCCTTTGGGTTGGATCACAGGGGTGAGTATACAAGGCAGCAGCAGCTGCTGGCTCTGGAGCTCTGGTTGCTACGTGAGAAGCTTGAGTAGTGCTGGCTGCTGTCTCCAGGGAAGGACAGCAGTGCAGCGTCCATTAATGCTGCTGGCTGCAGGGAGCAGCACTTAGGCGATGGCTGCTTCAGGACTAAGAAGAAACCTTGCTTTCCTGGGAATTCTCACTGCTGAGCTGGTTTGCTTTTTTATTGGTGGGGAGATGGGAATTAGCAATTCATAACCTACCCATTTATGGATATTAGCATCTGGAAACCGGATCATAGTTAAAGACTTTCTTTTTTTGTTTGGTTTTTGGTTTTTGGCAGATTTTTGTTTTTTATCTGGAGATTTTTGCTGGATAGGAATGAAAGTTCCATTAGAGTTTTAATTTTTGAATCAGTTTAAAAACGAAAGTAATAATTTTAAGGACGTTTCTCATAACCACAATGGGAAGAAAGTTACAGGAATTTTTTTCCTGCAACTGACATGACATGTTTTCCACCATCTCTTTAATCATTGAATTAATTTTGATTTTTTTTGTTATGTGCATTCTAACTTCCTGTCGATTAGGCTGTATTTACCTTATAGATGTTTTGCTAAACATTTTACTAAACTTGGACTCTTAAACTCTAAAAAGAGCTGCCATTTTGTAGTGGTTTCTAAATAAATATGCTTCTTAACTTGTGTATTAGTAATAAACTCCAGATTAGATATTTTATTTGGAGTTTAACTTGTAAGATGGATTCATTATAGGCATGTTGGATATAGCCTTCTGACATCACTAAGATATGTCTTTGGCTGTGATCCATCTGAAAAGTAGGACAGACCAAAAGAAATATGCAGAAATCGAATAAGTCTACTTCAGGATACTGAGAAGATGGCTTCTGAGCCCCTTAGGTGATCTCCCCTCCCCCACAACTCCTGAACATTAGGATGATCTCTGATTAAGCAAAACAATCTGAGCATGGAAATACTTGAAGGAGAACCACCACCAATTATATGCAGTATTAGACATGCCTGTGTGCTGTTTTTCTCCCCCAAGACACTTGTATCTTATACTTTTTTCCTCTCAGAATTTTGATTTGTTCATTTTTGTGTAAACGTATTTAAATCCCACAAACATCTATAATTTGTAGTATGACTCTGGCATTTGTGGCAGAGAACCAAAAAGAATGGAAATGAATTTTGTCATTCACAAATGTGGCTCACATTGTTTTACCAGTAATAAAAGCAGACCAATGAAACAGAATCTTTCATGGATACTATTTTAGGTGGTTCCAGTTCTTTTTACTATCACATAGATAAGATGCAATATCAGATAAATATGATTGATTTCATGTGTACTGGCTGTTTGACATACTTAGGGTTTAAGATAGAAACGTTTGTAGTTTTTTACTATGTGGCTTAAGTTACCATATAAAATAGTTGCTTTTTCACTCGAATTTCCGTTGTTTGGAACCTTTTGTGGTCTTGAGAAAATCGTTTTCTGAAGGATCATACAGGCCCTTTTTTCATAAAAGGATTTACTTAAGTAATACGCTTGAAAACTTTTTTATATTTTTTGATACCTTTTTGTGTCCAAGAACTGACTATCTGAAATTATTCTGGCTTTTTGGGGCGGGGCGGGGGGGATGACTATTTCATTTTTACCTTTGAATGGGGCATAATAAAGTGCAGAGTACAGATTTGCAGATAACCACTTTTGCTTTATCCTCTTCATATTGAAATAACTTGTGAAACATTAGGCCATAGTTGGCAGCAGTCAGTGACTATTGGATACATTTTATCAGAGAGGAACTGGATTATGTTAAAATAAAATTTTAAAAATATTTTTTAGCTAAACTCTTGTGATTCATCACTTTAATTTGAAATTAGAAGGTCTAGCAGTAAATTTTATTTATAAAAATTGTATTTCAAGTGTTGAAAACTGAAACTTCTTGGCCAATATAAAACTGCAAAATGTGTATTTGATAATATGACTGGTAGTCATTTGTAATTAAAAATATCCTTTCAAAGGCACGCTTTAGAAAACAAGTGTAATGCACCTATGATGGGCAGGAATTGATACCATTCCTTACTGCCACAAATTCCAAAATATGTAGTAAAATGATTGATTTCTCTTGTGGTTGGAATTCTGGGAACTTTGGGAAAGGTGGAGCTTATAGTTTCCTTCACTTACCAGTATACATTTTGTTAAATCAGTCTTATGAAACTGTCCTATTATATCTTTAATTATGAATTGGGTAAAAGATGCCCAGTAACTTTAAGGGGAGGTTCGGTTAGAAAGCATTACGTTGGAGAATTCCCTTACCTGGGACAAAATGTGTTCAAAGTCTTTAACATTTAGTGAAGGGAACTATGGGATATAATAAAGAAACAATGAAGGTAAGCTCAGTCTGCTTTTTATGTGCCCTCACTGAGCAAGGAATTTGTAATCCCATCGTGCCTCACTCGGTTATTCCATGATACTGATTTTGTTTGCTGAATACCGGAGGGGAATACCTTACTTAATGTAAGGTCACATTAAGTATGTTTGATATGAAGACAGGAATTTTCTGCTTATTGGAATAATGCCTTAGTATTTTTAAAACACTAAGTTTTTACAACAGGTCAGTTTTGCCTGATGCTTAGGTCTGTTACTTTGGTTGGGCTGCTGCTTTCT